ATAAGTTTTAGCTTACTACATCATCTGCTAAATTTCTTATTTGAATGTGGAAAGCCATGGATTTAATTTGTATACTAAGCATAACTTAATTAAATCTTACTTGTAAATCCCATTTACAAAGAAAGGAGTTTCAAACCCAAAGAAAATGGAATCATTATCAAACTGCTAAGTCAGATCAAGAAAATATAATTGGCCGTAAGACATATAAACTGCACTCACTTCCATGGTCAGTACCATAGAGAATATAGTCTCAACCCATATTCATATGCATAAGATTGCTTGGAAAGGGAAAAAAACTTGGCTTAATTTTGCTGAGATATTGTTTGTACTAACCGATCATGCCACATCATTCTAATCAAATAAGCTGCCACCTCATCTTTCTCTGCTTCTATTGCTAACTCAACTGGTAATGCAGCTCTTTTTTTCACAGGCTCTAGCTGGCCTTTGGTTTTCACAGCTAACAACAAGGGACATTTTTTCACAAGAGTTTGAGTGACTTGTAAAAAGCCCAGTTCTGCTGCATAGTGAAGCAATGTCCTCTTTGTTTTATCCTCTTCATCCCTGAACATTTTGTATCTACTGTCTGAGTTAAGTTCACTTTCTCACAGAATCTCCAACAAACGATTTATCTGCAGAAACAAATATTGACATGACAATTGTTTTTTATTGAGTGTGGAGCTATTGTCAGTGACTTTAAATTTTTGAAATTTAATAGTTCAGGACATCTTCTACAATGGATTGCAGATTAGGTTAATTTAATGATAATTTCACCCAAGAAGGGCTGCAAATTTTTAGCAAAACACTTTCAAGCCCATGCATCACTTTCAATACCCACGCAGATGTAATTTTACCAGTCATGAAATGCAATTAATTATCTTTTTATTCAGTTGTGTACTCAGTCTATTCTCCCTCAGAAGATTCTATTCAGAACAAGGAAGCATAAATCAAATCTGTAGAAACCCAGGTAAAAATTAATTTGATTAAACTATTAATAATACATGAGATTGCAAACTTAAATACACTCATTTGTTGTGATGTAACTTTATTAAGAAATAGCACATCACACAGAAGCCAATAATTCAAAATGGTTGCTCTATAGTGAACCAATTCTTGTTCAGATTCATTTTTCATGTCATGAAATATTCATTTTACATTGTAAAACTTTCACTAAAAGCATAAGACTGGTATACCAATAACTTAATTTGCATACCATTTGTGCAAGGCTTGGAAGTTTATCTGGACAATTTTCATAGTGTCTAGATGCTGGCCACTGTTTCAACATCAATAGTGCTGGGTCTTCACTGTTCAGCTCACCATTATCTTTGTATGTCTTGATAAGTCTTGCAACATGAACCTCATTGATAGCTCTGTTCCATGACAAACCTTCAGTTTGTTTTTGATGTACCTTATAGAAATGATATAAACAATAATGATGATGATGATGATGATGATGATGATGATGATAATAATAATAACTAAAAGTGGATCATTAGATGATGCAATTCAAGAGTTTGGCTTAGCCATCATGGGTTATGGACCCAGTTATACCATGTTCTACAAATATCCTAAGTGTACACATCAAAATTATAAAGTTTACCAAAGAAAAACAGTTACTCCACAAGTGCATGTTGGATATGGGATGATTATAGCTAACTCTTTGGCTATTTATCATCTCATATCCAACACGTGCTCATTGAATAATTGATAATATTAGTAATAATAACAAAAATAATAATAATAATCCTTACTCAAATTAAGTCTCAACTATGAAGGGTTGATCTTAATCTATCTGTTGTGTAACTGGCTCCTGATCACATAAGTATCCAATTACTGTTGTGCAATCTATGACAATTTTTCCACTATTAAGTCATTGGTTGGTGAGTGCTGATCAAAATAATGTGGAAAACTGGCTTTCCTGATAGTGTGACTCTGGCCACAGAAGTGACTTGTGAATGTCAACTGTAGAAAGATCAATTACCAATAACTGCCAGAGTTACTAGAGTGGTCGTGAATTGCTTTAAATGCTGTCAGACCATATTTATGTCATCATCAAGGACATAAATGAAAGCTATAAATACTTGCAAGCTAATTCAAGCTAATTTTCATAGCATTTGAAAACAACTCTTCTGAGTAAGTCACAGAAAAGCTTTTCATCTGTGAAGACATATAGCAGTACCTTGAATCTTTGGTCAGTCTAGCGTTGCTTCAGCAAATGTCACTGAAGTAAAATTTGCTATGGTGCAGTATCAAACTGCAACCTGGAATATGAATGCCTGAGAACCTTCAAGACAGAAATATCTGCAAACTGGTCACCGACTCTGATTCTTCATGTGAAAAATATCCTGCAATCAACCTCCTCATAAATTTTTCTTACGCGAATCATTTTATATTTGTAATGGTGCATTTTGTTAATTTTTTCATTTCACTTTTCTGTGATATCACCTCTATTTTTTACAGGAGGAAATACTAAACATACTAGAAGGGAGTTTATCAACGAAACCTGGCAATTGTTGTGGGGGTAAATCTGTAGTCTATTGTCAACAGTTAGATTTGGAAAGCATCTGAAATGTACTTATCGTTGACTAATTTTTCCTTTACACGAATTAAACCATTTGTACTTATCGGTCATGGACATCTTAAAACATACTACCGACAGAAAATTGTGAATCATAATCTATCGAAACGCTTTTTACTTACTTTAATCCAGAACTCTGCGTCCAGATCATCTTCAAAGACATTTTGCTGCTGATAATCAATTTCAGATTGAGGATTTTGTTTATCTGTTTCAGTGCTCTTTGATGACTCCTTCTCCTGCTCATCCTTTCCACCCTTCATCACAACCTGAACGATCAATCAACCTTAATTATGCAGGGATCTTTTACAATTAAGAAGTAAAGTTAGAGAAATTACACTCAAACACCAATTTCCTTTCACATGCGGTGAGTTTCGCCTACAGGTCATTGTATGGTGAGTTTTTGTCGTGCTCGGTCTTTTGGCCAAGGGCACCTCGTTCCCAGCCTCTCTCTAACAGTAAAGGGTAAGAGGATTGATTAGTAGGCATAAGGCTCTTTGGGCTCTGGTGAGAAAAATTTACCCTAATGTGAATTACTGTGTAGTTTACAGAGATGGAACGCTCTATACTCAACATAATTCCGTTTCCACTACCAAGAATTTAAACATAAAAAAAAGAAAGCAACAACATCATGCATGGATACCCTCTGTTAAGTTCTCAATCAATAAAGACTAACGTATGAGCGAGCGAGGTTATCGGGCTTCGTAGAAGTCCTTTGCCCTCTTAGTTAACCCTCCTTGTCTCTGTCTCGCTTCGCTTTTTTCGATCTTCAGTCCCTACAGACTAACTGCTCAGAACAGGGTAGTGAAGTAATGAACGAAACAATTAAACAACTAAAATTAATGCAGCTATCTTGAGAATTATATCGCTAAGGCTCTAATGAATGTTCAGTCGTTGCTTAAGATATTGTGCCAAGTTGAAACATTCTACTCTTCCTTCGTGTTTAGTCACCCTCCACCCTTGAACAGCGTTTGGAATGTTGTGTGATTAGGTGCCATTATCGTTTTCTCGCAGTTGGCCGGAGCCAAATGAATAACACCAATGATTACTATCAATCACGTAGGTGACGACGAATCCCTATCTAATTTTCACACATTTTGTATGGAACATATACCCCAAAATCTTCCCTAAAAGCATATAGACCTCAGCGAGACCTTCATTCTCTACCTGAAATATTTGACGTTGTTGACTTTATTGAGTTACTTTGAGCTATCCAGATTATCGTTGTTCCTTCAACCTGTCTATAATCTCAAACAATTTCAAGTCGAGGATGAAATACGCTTTGTTCTTGAACACTGAGAGCGACAGCACCAGCGCCGCGCGACTGATGGATTATTTACAGGGTAGGTTGCGGAAAATAGCAGACATGAGAAATATCACCAACATCTTAGCAGAGGATCTAGATTTCAAACAAGAACTACGCCACTGTGACTGCGTCTTGTTGATCGGATCACGACAAGCTTCGTCCCTCATTCAAGGCAGGCAACAAGAAAGGCAAGGTGAATTTATTACGTTTGATGGAAAATTTATTCACGACGAGTTGACAGGAAACAAAGAACTTGTCAAGGAACGACTTATCATCGTCCACTTCACGGAAAGAACAAAGAATGACTGGATCCCGACTGGTTTCGATGACAAGCGAATTTTTCATGTGGAAGATGGAAAAGTCCCTCCCAATGGAACTCCCACCTTAGTTCACCTTGAATATCGCATGAAGAAAATATTACTTGGAGATGACTTTTCGTTCTGAGCTGAAGGTATAGAGAGTAAAGGAGGGCGGTCTATTCATGGAGAGCGATAATAAAGACTTCAATATACTAAATACTTAATGATCAATCAAAGCTGTGTGTAATTAATTATTTTTTTCAATTGAGACTTTAATTTAATGGTTACACTCTTGGTTTCATACCTGTTATTGAAATTAGTAGCTGGTGTAGAATTATGAAGTTGGGAAAAAAATTGTTAATAGTTTAATAAAGTTTAGAACAGTTCCTTAAAATTCTCTTTTGTAGACGTAATATTAAAAAAAAGTGTTTAACTGACTTTTACTGACTTAAACCTCTAAATGAAGAAGAGGTTCCCTCATTAACATGAAGAGACACGGTTGTAAAAGGTTGGTTTTTGACCGAATATGATTGAATGACCGTTTCAGTAAATCAAATATTGAATAATTAATCTTGGTTGTGCGATGAATCGAGTCGATAGGGTAAAATTCTTAAATTAAAGTTTGCTTAAACAGCTCAAAATGTTGAAGATTACTTCCGTAAGTTACTTCCCAGGGTCTCTCTTCTTCCTGCCCGACCATGAGAACGAGGTTAACGTTGTGGTCTGTTACGCCGAAACTGGACTACAATGTTGAATTAACTACCAATCGACCGTTAGTCTTGAAAGGTGTTTGAAGTTGACATTATGTATGACAAACATCCGTTTATTCTTGTCGAGGCCTCATCTGTTTGACCATTTTTCTCATCATATCCCTGTAAATGGGAGTACACAATACAATAAACTGCCACAACACTCGAAAACGGATGCGTGGCGTGGGCTAGCAGGTACTGGTTGGCCAGTTGTATTTGAAGGGTTTTATCAAGTTGCTCTTCGCTTGGACTGAAACACTTGCGTAACCTTATTAACTAATCAAATTCCAACCAAAAAAAACCAACTGCTGCTTTGGCCTCTCGCGTTTTCCCGAGCTTCATGCAGTTTGGTTGAATTTTGTTTGATTTCTCGATGATTCTATTTATTCCTGGTGAGATTACTCTCAAATTAATTAAGGGGCAAGTTTGTGAGGAAACTGTGGTGCTGCGTCGGTGGGAGAGTATGACAGGGTAATTCAGCGTTAATAACTGTGTTGATAACGTAGATTGGCCACGGTCCAAAGCTGACGTTTCAAGCGTTAGCCCTTCATCATTCGCTCTGATAAGGGCTAACGCTCGAAACGTCAGCTTTGAAACGTGCCCAATTTACGCTGTCAACTCGGTTGATAATACCAAATTGCCCTCTTATACTCTCAAATGACTGATTGATCGTCTTTGTGATTATTTTAGCTTTAGTTTTACGACACTCATAACACGAAAGCCCTCTTTGTGAGGTCGAATAGGTTCATTAAAGAGCCGAAAGTAATGAAGAGAGGTGCTAAAAGCACCATTCTTACCTGATCGCATTCAGCTTCTCTTCCACCGACTCCCAAGGATTACGATCTTCACTGAATTCAAGAAGCTCTAAAAAGGAAACTAACATCACAAGTTAGAAGAAAATGAAACCTTGATACATTAATGCGCTGGAATGCTACGTATGTTTTGGTTACATATTTCTTTGTTAATTCTGCTATATGTTCCTTCAATAATTCTTAACAGAGTATCAACTCGACATAGCACTTCGTTCTGCCCAACAAGAAGGAATTACAATAAAAAAGACTGATAATAAAAACGTGTTCTCTTGCATTACTTCTTAGACATGTAAATAATCAGAAAAGGGGATTGAAACGTGGGCAGCTAATCCTTTTCATTTTTCTCAAGCTCCACCCGGTCTCCATTTTACAAACGACTTTTTGAAAGACAACGTTAAGGCTAAAATCACATTGGTACACATATGTATATGTATTTTAGTACAGACCTTGCGCGAGTTTCATTTCACTGACCCAGTCTCCTCCCTTGTAATACTTTATGCGTAAATTCTGGAGAGAGAAAATTCGTAGTAAGTAAATCAATTGCTTAAACCTTCTGTCCACGCTTACATTCACACTTACACAAGCGGGCAGTACATTTGTGTGATTGCACATAGCCTCAATCACACACTCGCTGTTTACTTCTGAACTCTCCATGCTTATTACCAAATGGATCTACTTACCAGAAAAGGTAATCTCTCCATGCGCGTGAGCTGTAAAATCCGATCCGCATCATATTCCAGACGAGCGACTTTCTTGGCCTGTGAGTAGGTCGTACTCATTTGTGCAACGAGGATGTTGAGCAGAATCACTGTCACTGTTCCCATGTACGCCATCATCAACAGAACTGACAGCCAGCTGCAGAAAAAAAAATAATCACAAACTTCAACTAAACTACAAGAAACGAATGCATAGGCAGTACTTATCATACAGCGCAGCAGGCCTAGCCAAATCCAGCCCAATTTCTTATTAAAGGCTGATATCTGATCCCCTTGAACTGGCATTTACAACTCAGGTAGATGCAGTCGTTACGTGCAAATTAAGAGAAGCAATATCTTTAAAGAATAGTACCACCTACTTGAAAGTTGAGTAATTTTCCGCCATTGGATACTGCTCAGACAGCGCACGAAGTCCGCTCAACAAAACGTCTCCAAGACCACTAAAAGCAAAATCAAAATTAAAAGCAGTATGTTAGGTTTTTTCCCTTTACATGCGTTCTGTTCACCAGTAAATTGCTTTTGCTAGAAAGGATGAGAATAGTTGAATAAATAAAACATCTAGCTAGTGAAGAGCAGATCAAATTCAACAAATTCCAAAGAAAATTATCAAATATTTTATTGACTTGTAACAAACGATATCCAAGCTGTTTTTTCCAAAACAACTTCATAGCTTTGTTAAGGAGATATACTCAACAGAGACGCACCGAAATTCTTGGTTTTCACTGGATACGGAGTAACAAAGTGATAAAGTCAGGGCACCACAGAAGGAGAAAAAGATCACAATAAAAACTGCCATGGATCTTGTGACGTCATATAAAATGATCTTAGCCAAGGTTTGTGTGTACAATCCTGTAGTCCTAAGAAATATTTGATGCAATGTTAGGTTAGATTGACGAAGGGATGAGTTTTAATTCATCAGTGCTCTTTTCGAACTCAAGCAATCAATTGGGAGTTGTAGGTTACCTTGACACACATGAAAATTTTAATATTCTCATGAAGTTAAACAAGAAGGCCAAAGATGTCACCATCCACTGTGCTTTATGATCCATGTACCGTAAGGGTATTATACACAGGATCAACAGCAGGCCTAACCAGTCAAACAAGGTCATCCACTCTGAGAAATAAGAACGCCCCTCTCTACAAGAAATCACACAATTAGTATATGTAATCGTTCCCCTTCTAGCACTCCACGCAGGTTTTTGGTATAAAAAATCATCTGAACTTCGTATCGATTGCATAAGGCGTGAGACAACACAAATGAACCGTATAAGTGTTATTATGTCTTAAGAAAAAGCTGACGCGCTTTAAGGTTCGTTTTTTTAAGAAAATTAACTATAAAAAACGAAAAAGAAGAAGTGTTTGGATGCTTCAGAGCGCCATTTTGTTACTCCGCTTTCCGTCCGTATTTTTGCCCTCTTCTATACCGAGGCATACTTGATGCGTTCCTAATATGGTAAAATGGCGTAAATGTGAAATAATAATTAACAATATTAACAAGTTTCCACGTTTCTGAACTCAACAATCTGATGTTAACTCAGCATTAAATTACTTACATTCTTATTTGATTTATTTCCTCACAGATGTAAAACACGACCATAAGTAGAGTGACAACCTCGCAAAATCCACGCAGTGAGTCCAGTGCACCGCTGTAATGGGTGGGGTCCAGTTTGGTAGAGGCATGCAGCAGGGAATATGACATGCACAGCAAGAAGATGCAATACAATACTGCTTGAAGGCTACAAAATAGAAAAAGTAATAATAATTACCTCTGCAAAAGTACCATGGAGAAAGGGCACAATATTAGAAATTCAAATAAAGATATATAACATAAAGTTCTTGGTAACCTGTCCAATTTTTTAAAATAAACCCCTGAGAAATCAAAGGCTTAGAAAGTTGGACAGTAACATGCATTCATAGTGTTCCAAGGAATACTACAATAAGATTGAATCACTCTGCACAGAAGTGCTTTCACTAGCTGATAATGTGTGTAGTGGCAAAATAAACACAATAATTTTCTTTCCCTTCACCTAGATACACTTAAAAGTTAATCAATACCTAATTCAACACCTATATGCCTTAATTGATAAATAGTTGATACAGCTATTTTTAAAATTAACAGTATGGAGGCTACAGACACAACTCATATACCTTAGAAAAAAGTGTCCATAACTTTTCCATTTTGCTTTAATCAACATTCTGACCACAGGATGCTGCAAAGCTTCCTAAAAATAAAATTAAAAACTGATTTCTGTCCAAAACTTAAGGTGATAGTGAACTAAGAATCAAATTTCTGCAGTTATATGCATTAGTCATGTATAAAATGTGTCTACTTTTTCTGGATGTCTTTTTAATAACAGAGCTAGACATTACATATTTCACTGATAAATTTTCTTAAAATCTGATTGTCTTTAGATCTGAATCTCACTTTGTTGTTGCCCTTTGCAATGGCATGCAAACAAGACTTGTCTTTCCAATTAAAATGTTTGTTTTCTATCTGCTTGTACCCATCTGAATCCAAAATCTTTGGGGGTCGTCCTCCCTCATCTCCATCCAATATATGATAATAGAAATGATAGTTTAATGGATCATCTGAAATTGTATTCCAGACTCCCTCAATTGCCTCCCTCTCTTCTTCAGTTTCATAGTTTTCTTGTCGTTGGGGAAGATAAGGCCAGTGAGGGCTCATCATCTGGTTTAGTACAGCCACCACTGTTTCCTGTGAACAACACAGTCATGACCTTTTTCATTATAAACAGTTCTATAGAACATGTAAGTTACAGTGAAAGAGAAAAAAAACATCAATAATCCAAGATATAATACTACTGGATCTGATCTTTACCACGTAGCTGCATACCACAACATAACAATAATAATGATAATAATAGTAATAATAATTATAATCATCACCACCATCATCATTGTCATCATCTAAAGTAGACCTGTGGCACATTTAAATATATGTACATAAAACAACCTCACCTTCATCCTAGGGTTCTCAATAATTGCCTTGAAACTGAAGAAGGATGGTTTTGGATCAGTCATTTTGCTTGGTGTCCAGGAAAATAAGTTTTGAATGCTAAAAGTAACAGTCAAAATAAATAATTACTTCAAAAATACTCTATAGGTGCCCAAGCTCTGTTTGATCAGGTTTCTCAAACCAAGCTCTCTTAATCCAGTTATCATAAGGAAAATTTTTTTTTCATTCATTTATTTCAATACTAAAGCCTCATTGGTTTGGTATTTTGTTCAAAGGATGGGATTACAATAAATTGTTGGAGAGCAACCTCCACTGATTTTTTCTCACAAGCAGGACTTTTCAGAATATCAATTTTCCTGGAAATCAATTTTAAATAGATTAAAGACCATAATATCCTGGCTTCTTAAATTCTACCATGTGGAAAATACATGCATGTTTATTTATAAAGTAAACGGTTTTTACCTCTCATGTGACATAACTCTAATCAAAAAGGCCGCCACGTCGTCCTTCTCTCCTTTTATTGCCAATTCCACGGGCAACATGGCTCTTTTCTTCACAGGTTTCCGTTGATTTTCTGTTATCATGGTTATCATCTGGGGACATTTCCTCACAAGTGTTTTTGTGACATGTAAAAAACCAAGCTCTGCTGCGTAGTGCATCAAGGTCTTTCTTGTTTTGTCACATTCGTCTTGAAACACTCTGTATCTGTTCCCTGAGTTAAGTTCACTTTCTAAAAGAATCTCCAAAAAGCGATTTATCTACAAAATACATAATCAAAAGTATCATAAAAATATGACACATTTACCTAAAATGTTCGAAGCCAGTTGGGCAGAACGGGATCCCTCTATAAGTCGTCAGGTTTGTATAGACTGTGCTTTTGTGCACAGTACTGGTGATTGTTCACGAGCAGGAACTTTCTTTTTAATAATTTAACTAAACATCTTTATAACCTCACGTAATGATCTTTTTGTGAAGAAAAATCCCTTTATCATAGCTTTTTTGTAACCAACTATTTCTATATAGCCGCTGAAGAAAATTGTTAAGTCCCCAACTGATCCGTACTTTAAAAAGTTAATTTCCAGGACAAGTAAGTCTATATAAACATACCAGTTGCTCGAGTCCACGAAGTTTCTCGGGATCATCTTTGAAGTATACGGATGTAGGCCACTTTTTCAACATTGAGAGCGCTGGATCCTCACTATCCAGTTCCCCACTATCCTTGTATTTCTGAATCAGTCTTTCAACCTGGACTTCATCCATAGCTCTGTTCCATGACAACCCTTCGTTCTGCTTTTCATGAACCTTGATAAATGGATCAAGCTAATGGTCTATAAAAGATTCATTATAGGGATGAACGGCTTCACAAAAAAACTGAAAAATGAAATAGCAAAACTCGTCATTTTACATATATTTCAAATTCATTACCCTTAACCAAAACTCCTCGTCAAATTCAGCTCCAATGAAGTCTTGCTCGTAGTCACGACAGAGATTAATTTCATGCTGATCTCCTCGTTCGTTGCCTTTTACAGCGCGTTCTCCCCTACTCATACCTTGATCTTTTAACACTAGCCACATCGAAGTTATAGGAATTAAATAAGTACCATCTTTCTGAAAAAATAAATCTAACTTTTTTGTAAGCGGGCTCTTTCCTGTCGGTCAGTACCTCAACAGCGACGTAAACGAAACGAGCAATAACCACTACTTATCCCCAGGGTTTATCGGTTTCATATTTGAAAACCGAGAGGCCACTGGGCACTAGGTTGGGTCGAAATTTGGGTACTTCTCCAGATCAGTTCCAGGAATACATTGCCACCCACGAGCCAAAGCACATTAAAGTTTATGAGTTTTATGAAACATACAACAGACAAACTTTCCCTTTTTGAAAAAAACTATGGCTATTTTAAGAGAACGAAGATTGTTGTTTAAGAAATTGCTTTTATACATGTTTAATTGGCTTGGAATTGTCTATGATGCCGAATAACGAATAAAGGAAAATGTCACAGGGTATACAACACTGGAAACACGTCAAAATGGCCCAAAATGTACGCATGTATGCCAGGTACGAAAAAAAGTATTCGCTGAAAACAATAGCAAAACCCACAGAGAGTGATTATTTGATGAAAATTTCCAAACTCTAAAGGTGAAGCACGGACTTAAGCCATTGTGCCTTGTGCTTCTAATACTTGCGAGGAAACTGCGATAACTTCGTGCATCTTCTTGCATTGACGACTTTTCTTGTCGGCATGCCAGGTTTAAGTTTTCCGTCTGAAAGATTAAAGCCTTGAAAGCATTCGAAAGAAAGTGGAGTTATTCACCTCGTTTATATCTCAAGCTCAAGTACGAGTTGAAAATGAAGTGTTCATTGTTTTTGTATACTGAAAGCGATAGCACCAAAGCAAGGCGACTCATGAGTTATTTTCAAGGAAGGGTGGGAAGGATTTCTGAAGTGAGAAATATCGAGAACATTCTGGTGAGGGAGCAAGATTTTAGGGAAGAACTACGTGACAGTGAATGTGTTGTGCTGGTTGGAACGCCCGAAGCTTTGTCCCTCATCCAGAACAAGCAGCAAGAAAAAGACGAAGATGACATACTATTTGATGGCAAAGTTATGCATGAAGAGTTCACAGAGAACAAAGAACTTGTAAAGAACAGACTCCTTATCGTTCACTTCACGGAAAGAACCGGGACTGACTGGATTCCGAAGGGTTTTGATGAAAATAGAATTTTTCATGTGGAAGATGGCAAAGTTCCTCCTGATGGAACTCCAACTTTGACCCACCTTGAATATCGCATGAAGAAAATATTGCTTGGAGATGACTTTTTGTACTGAGCTTAAGGACCACAGAAAGTACTTATACCGTAACGGTTTTTTTCATAGAAAATCAGAAAAAACCATAAATGTAAAAGGCTGGCTTCTTAACTCATCGCGTTTGAATGACAGTTTTCATTATCTTAGTTAATGATAATTGATCGTATTTCTTTGTGTTTGGTGAGAGTACATTACTGTTCGAAAGTTTAATTTTGAACAATGCGATGGTTACACCATTGGCTTAACTGTGTGATAAAATTACAAAAATTTACTAAATGATGTTCCAAGGAGACCTCAATACTAAAAAAAAAATTATCAAGTCTTTACATACAGAGCTCCTGAACAGAGTGGGGTTGAATAAATAGAGCAGTGAACGTCAGTATCGCATTCTTTAAATTCCTTAAATGCGAATGTTTAGGTTGTGATCTTTAGGAGTCAATACTTATTATTCTGCGCATTGCGTTATAAAAAAGGTCAAAGCTATTGGTATTTTTTGTGTAATTCTATTAATCATGGGTATACTGATTAGCCTCTGTTCAAAGCTGCCTGATCATGCAGGCTCCTGTTTAAATATAATATGGTCACTGCAAGGGAAATGTTGATTTTTCATTCATATGGCTTCCTCTGTGTAACTGGATTACATGTGTACAAAACAAAGTATTGGCGAATAAGGTCGATTGTAAAAAATCACAAAAATATAAAGGTGAACCTCTCTTCCAAGATCTTTCTCCCTCCAGTTCAACTTTAAGAACCAGATTGATGCCATGGTGGGCTGCGCAATCTCGTACCCAGACCTCCCGCAACCAAGCGGTTGTCACATTTAAGGCGGGACACAAGTAGAAGAGCGAATAGCGATGCTTTTATGGCGTAATTATGACTAACTGCTGCGAAGTAACATTAATAATGATTATGAAAGAAACGGCTTACATAAGATAGTTTAATTGATGTGGAATGTTCACGTGTTTTTCGCGTACCAATTTAACAACGGGTTTGACAAATAGTCTCAGGCCGGAAATTGGATTCAATAACTTTACAGTTTGAACTTCAACCATACATGCCACCAAACAGTGAAAACCACTGCTCATTTATTTAATGATTTCCTTCCATAAACTTTCCAAAAGAAACGCTTTAGTATCATCTCAAAGACCATCTACATTTTTTCCTGAATATCTGATGGAGTAATGAACTACTTTTGTCACAACAGGGAATCACGTGACCTAACTCTGTATCCAACTCAGCCAAACTCGAATTTCGCGGAACAAATTTTGGTTGAGATTGTGACGTAACTTACACGCAACTAGGTTTTAGAGGATGTATAAGTACGTACTTAATATCTGTGGCTCATATTTCAGAGGCAAGGTGCGTGAATACTTAGCACTATAAAAGTAAACCAGGACGACCCTACACGTTCTTCTCCTTCGGGTGCACTTGGGTATGTTGCCACGGGTGGGTGTGTGCTGCCAGATCTTCAATTTAAACCCCATTAAAAAAACTTTACAATCAAAATGTTATCCCGTTCGTTTACGTTTTTATTTAAAAAACTATCGCCCTATCTTTCTGGTCAAAGTCGTACAAAATGCAAGTAGTGACAAATTCCGAAGAAAACGGAAGCAATATATCCTTCCCATCGCCGTCGAGCAACGGATACCCGTTTATTCGCGTCCAAGCCTCATCTGTTTAACCATCTTTCTCATCAGCTCCCTAAAATGAAAAGCTCACAATAAAGAAAAGAAATGATACACAAACAATAACGTTCTCTGATTGGTTTCGAAAACTCGCTTTATCCTCTCTGAATCAGTCAGAGTTAGACTTGATCACAATTGTTTTCCCGCGCTTCGGACAGTTTGATTGATTTTTTTTTTAATGTTTTGTTTTGTTTTGTTTTTTATTTACCTTCCGATTTACATTTGTCGCTGTGTCTAATTTAGTTTCGCTCTGAGGAAGGGCTAATGCTCGAAACGTCAGTTTTGAAACTCTTTACGGTGGCCAATTTACGTTATCAACTCAGTTGATAATTCTATGTTACCCTGTTATACTCTCCAACCGACGCAGCACCACAGTTTCTTTAGAAACGAACCCCCTTCATTAATGAATTTAGTTTCGGTTTTACAAAAAGAAAAGAGAGGAATTGAAGGAATTATTCGTACCTGATATCATTAAGTTTCTCTTCAACCGACTCCCAAGGACTGCGATCCTCACTGAATTCCAGAAGCTCTAGGAACAAAACGTAGCAAGATCACATCTGAGAACACAAAGAAATCTTTACGTATTATATCATCAGAAAAAAAATTGTTTTTCGTTTACGTACTCTTCACGAGACTCCCTCTCACCCACCAAAGAGGAATTGAAATGGAAAATGATTACTAGTTGAACTGTTCGCTCAAACAGCCACATAGCTCTTGGTAATTAAAACAAAGGCTTGTAACATGAGCAGCCCTTCCTTTCGTTTTCACACTACTCCTTTCAGTAGCCAAGCTAAATTTGTACTTCTTACCAAAAGCCATTCCAGCTTTCAGTTAGCAACATCCTGTGATTGATGGTTTGTCTTAATAAGTAATCTCATTTATTTCATTACCGACCTTTTGCAAGTTTCATTTCACTGATCCAGTCTCCCTCCTTGTAATACTTCACGCGCAAATTCAACAGACAGAAAGGTTCTTGTATAATAAATCAATGACCTCTACCTTCCATTCTCTATTTTTCACACTTGCACAAGGCGGGCAGCACATTTGCGCAATCGCACTTCGCGTCAATCATCTAACGGCTTCATTCTAAATACCTAGTGGATACTCACAAGAAAAGGAAATCTCTCCATGCGAGTGAGCTGTAAAATACGATCCACATCATATTCCAGACGGGCGACTTTCTTGGCCTGTGTGTAAGTTGTACTCATCTGTGCAATGAGAATGTTGAGCAGAATCACAGTCACTGTTCCCATATACGCCATCATTAGAAGAACTGACAGCCAGCTGTAGGAAAGAAATATTCACAAAGCTAAGCTTATCTACTGAAGGAAAATGTGTGAGACTTACTAAACACCACCGCTCCCTTATTACAGACCTGATATGACTTGTGACCTTAGCTTCCCTGAGCTAGCTTTTAAAACTCAAATCGTAACAGTCGTTACGCGCAAAGAGAAGCTCAGCAATAACTTCAAAGACTAGTGTGACGTACTTGAAAGGTGAGTAATTTTGCGCCATTGGATACTGCTCGGACAGTGCTCGAAACCCACTCATCAAGACGTCTCCAAAATCACTAAAGGCAAAACCAAAAATTAAAATTAGTATGTTGGGTTTCTTTGCACTTCTCACGCGGTATATTCAACATCCAAATTCCCGCGATCAGTAAATTACTTTTGCCAGAAAGGGTGAGAACAGTTTGAGTAAACAAAAAATCTAGCTAGTAAAGAGCAGATCAAATTAAACAAATTCCAATAGAAATTATTTCATATTTTACTGACTTGTAGCAAACGATACCCTGAATTAGTTTATTCCAAAACAACTTCATAGCTTTGTTAAGGAGATATACTCAACAGAGACGCACCGAAGTTCTAGGTTCTCACTAGTTCCGGATTAACAAAGTGATAAAGTCAAGGCACCACAGAAGGAGAAAAAGGTCACAATAAAAACTGCCATGG